TAGAGCCTTGGTGGCACAGCAGACTAAAGTACTGTTAACTAACACCAGCTGACTGCAATTACTGCAAGTTCAAATCTCACCAGGCTCAAGGTTGACTCAGCCTTCCATCCTTTCGAGGTAGGTAAAATGAGGACCCGGTTTGTGGGGGCAATAAGATGACTTTGTATAAAAAAAGAACAACGCTGGGGGGGGGCGGGCAAAAGCCCTACTAAGCAGGTATATACAAAAGTATGAAGGCTATTGCTTAACGCATTGTAAGCCGCCCTGAGTCTCCGGAGAAGGGCAGAATATAAATTGAACCAATAAATAAATAAATAAATAAATAAATTACAGAACAAACTTTGCTCCTTAATATTTGAATGCAATCCAAATACAGAAAGCCAGAATTTACCTTGTGACATCATGGCACATGATGTATCATACCAGGGGCCTGGTAGCTCAGCAGACTAAAAGCATTGTGATTAACACCAGCTGTCTGCAATTACTGTAAGTTCGAATCTCCCCAGGCTCAAGGTTGACTCAGCCTTCCATCCTTTCTAAGATAGGTTAAATGAGGACCCAGTTTGTGGGGGCAATAAGCTGACTTTGTATAAATATACAAAAGTATGAAGTCTATTGCTTAACGCATTGTAAGCCATCCTGAGTCTCCGGAGAAGGGTGGCATATAAATCAAATTTAAAAAAAAAATTCTTTTTTAATGTCATCTATCAGAAACAAATGCCTATATAAACTAGGGCAACCAACCTTTGCCTCATGTGAGAGATTGTGGGAAAGCTGGGAGCAAGTCAAGTGATATATTTGACCCAGGTGAGAAGACATCTGGGAAAAAGCATTTCAAAGAGATTCCGTCTCAATTAATTCAACTACAAAAGAATCTGGGAAAGTGCCATTATAGTTTCTAAGATTATTTTTACTCCCATATTAGCATTAAAGATATTTTATTGAAATCTGCATCATTTTTACTTCCTCCGTATTGCCAGCTACCTGGGCTTGATATTTGCCATAATGCAAATACAACCACTACATAGCAAGAAAGAGATATGGAACAGAACAGAATAACAGAGTTGGAAGGGACTATGGAGGTCTTCTAGTCCAACCCTCTGCACAAACAGGAGACCCTATGCCAGTCCAGACAAGTGCCTGTCCAGTTTCTCCTTAAAAGCTTCTAGAGATGGAGCACCCACAACTTCTGAAGGCAAGCTGGTTAATTGTTCTCACTGGTAAGAAATTTCTCCTTAGTTCAAGGTTACTTTTCTTCTTGATTAATTTCCATCCATTGTTTCTTGTCCTGCCTTCTGGTTTTTTGGAAAATAGGTTGACCCCCTCTACTTTGTGGCAGCACAAAAACATCTAGTATTTATCCAAACTGTGATATAATATCTTAACAAGCCATGTTTAGACCAACATAATATATGACTTTGCTTTACATCTTAATGAAAAAGATTTTTCCCCCCCATTTTGAACCTACTGTTTTAGAATTGCATTTTAACTCAGGCAAATTGCATGGACACCCATCCTTTCAGGGAAGATTAAAAAAAGAAATATCCATCATGTCTCTACATGACTTCAAACACTGTTTTGGAATAGATACATGCTTTGGTCTTGGTTGCTTAGCCCTGGTTCCCACAACACTACTGTGCTGCACAACTCTTGGGGAAAGCTGAGTAAATATGTTGCCATCATCTCTTTTACTCTAGAGAAATAATCTCTGCCACTGATTTACCAGGGAAGAGGCAAATCTCTTGTTCTGCTGCTTGATTTGATGACAAGTCAGGCTAAAAGCTAGCTCTTTTCCCCATGATTAACACCACTGATTCATATAAATTCAAAATCTTTATTTACATGGCAAAGTCAGAGACCTTGAATAAAATTGAAAAGAGAGAAGAAACACATTATTGCTTTCTGAAGAGTTTGATCTCAGTCTCTTTCAGCTCAGGGACTGTTTCCTCTGTTCCCAGATCTTACACACACAGCAGAACACGTTTTATACATGATCTCAACCCATAAAATAAAACACATTCTCTACTGTGTAGTCAGCTTCACTGATCCTATCTTATTAGCCCAATTCACTATATTTCAATCTGGGTATTGCAGCCTTATTTTGTTCTAACCAGCCTTGGAGGAAGTCCATGTCCTTTAACCTTTTCAGTGTCTGAACCTAGTGACAAACAGAGGTGGTATTCAGCAGGTTCTGACCAGTTCTGGAGAACCTGTAGCGGAAATTTTGAGTAGTTCGGAGAACCAGTAAATACCACCTCTGACTGACCCCACCACCATCTACTCTCTGCCTCCCGAGTCCCAGCTGATTGGGAGGAAATGGGGATTTTGCACTAACCTTCCCTTGGAGTGGGGAAGGGAATGGAGATTTTACAGTATCCTTCCCCTGCCACGCCCACCAAGCCATGCCACGCCCACCAAGCCATGCCATGGCCACCAAGCCATGGTCCCAGAACTGGTAGTAAAAATTTTTTGAATCTCACCACTGGTGACAAACATAACAAGCTATTATCAGCATGTCTCAGCCTCATTCTCCTATGTAGGTATGAACCTGGTTAACAAAAGAGCTTAAGAAAGCAACCAAACTCAAATAACACCAAGAACCTAACTAGAATTTAACTAGTTACCAGCTGGCATTCTGGTTTTCCTTAAAGTTGGGGAAACTATGACTTGACCAAGTACTTTTATGTAAGTAAAAAGCATACAGTTACGTTTTCCTATGTGCCTACTATTGTGGCATGAGCCATTTCACAACACTGATCTGTGGAAAGGCTGCATATGCAATATGTGAATTGAAAGATTGTTTATAAACAGAGCTCAGGCATAACCAATTAGCCAGATGAGAAAACATCTGAAAGCAGTCCATTTCAACAAAAGGGAAGGAGAAAGAAACTCTTGATCTTGGGGCATTCAGGTGTATAGAAGCAGATTCTTGACTTTTGTAGAAGTTACTGTTTATTGTAAGGTAGTCTGTATCTGCAAGAAACTATCTACCCCATCAGCATCTTTAACTTCCCGAGAAAATGCTGGTTTCTTAGAGAAAGAACTATTGAAAGGTCTCAGGGCAATCTTTGATATGGGGGATCAAAGCCAGTTTTCATTCCATATTCTCTCTCTGGACTCTCTCTTGACCAATGCATGGCTGTTTCACAACATTCCCCAATCTTTGCCTCTGTTGCTATTTGGCTACATCAAATATTATGCATTTAGCACCATCATCTTCATAAATGTTTCTTATCCACACTCCTTGGGTCTTGTTTGGCATAGGGAGAAATAAGTATGTAAGAGAATCCAAGTTTTAAGAGAGTTTGAGAATTTAATGACATTTACCACCAGAGGGTGAATGGGTGGGGGAGCGGGGAGGAGATCCCTCTGGAACAGACTGGAAACAATCTATGGCATCAATAGTGTGATGAGTCAGTTCTGGTGCACACATCCAATTTTTTTACTCTATTCTTGCTTCAGGCCAAAGTGGTTCTGAAGGGTTTTGGAAAACACAGTTAGTTTGTCAGATACAAAAGCATGCCATGGGCCATGCAATTCCTTTCCAAATATCTCCAGTTCTTTGAGAAAATGATCATCTATCTCTAGTCTTATTCAGACAGACTTTCCCCCCCCCCCTATTTGCCATTTCTGTTTATCAGTTCTCTGGGGAATTCTTTTGGAACCAATTGTCATTTACTTGGTAGGCACACTGTGTTACTTATATGCTGTAAAGGCTCAACATTTGGTGTAAATATAATGCACTCTTGCTTAATATATTTTATTTTCTCCTAGGCTTTAGAATTTATTGCTTACCAAAAATACATTTTATTTTCATCGGGATTAGGTTTATACAAAGCTTGGCATGGATTCAGTACTTAAGGTATAACTTGGAAACACAGTTTGGCAACCTTACACAGCCTTCTCCAGTTTGGGACTCTTGAGATCCAAGCTTAGTTACAGATTGGAAATGAGGATGGATGAATTACTTAGTGGGAAATCTGTGCTTCAACTGTACCTTAAGGCAAACTAAGTTCCTGATGTCTTCTACTGTGATATTTGCTTTGGTTAAATTAGAATTAAATAGATTTATCTGACAGTCCTGTACATATTTCTTTTCAATGAGTTCAGAAACTCACGGAATTCAAACAGGATTTGCTCCCAAACAAAATCCTTTATTTAGGATTATACGATTGGTTTAATTAACTTTGATAACAACACTCTGACTTCAATAACCTATTAATCTGCTTTTGCTAGCAATATTCAAGCTAGCATTTTCACTCCTGCAACTATTCCATTTTCATAATAGTTTTCAAAGCAGTTACCACATTTTAACCAGCATACACTGTTCAGTAATGACCTCCAAAGTATAACCTATGAGCTAGAAAGTAAAATCACATAGACCCAATGTTGCTTGCCATCTTTAAAATGATTCCAATAAAGGATTTGGAAGAATACTTTGTAAACAACATAGGTTATATACAATATTTAAAATCTGTAATAAATAAAATAGGAACAAGGCTGTTCTTGACACGTTATAGAGATAACTCTAAAAGGATGGAAGTTGAGCCCACCACATGTGTATTTGGTACCAGATTATAATGGCACCTGGGATGGAATGTGGGTTTTTTTTAAAAAAATGTGGGGGTTTTGTTTTTATCTCCTATTTATAGGGCTCTGATTGTTGATAGTCTCCCACAGTTATATTGTTTAAGATGGGAAGCCATATACATTTTTTAAAGATAAAACAAATTTGAATTAGTAAAATGGTCAGCATTTTGATGGGAAGAATTAGCTGCACAAATTCAGAATGGGAGACACTTGATATCCTTTTTGCGGTATATGCAAATAGGATCTAGACCTTTTTGTAAGCCAGCAGTTTCACAGCAGAGTCAACAATAGGGTGCCATACTGAGTGCAGTTCTGAAGTTTATCAACAGATATACAATCAGATACAATATCAGGCTTCACCCAGACAATACTTGAGCTTTGGCTCATAGCCATAGATTCAAGGACACAGCTTTCATTTTGGATTGTAGAGAACACTTTAATAAAATGAAAATCAGTGACTATAAATTCTAGGATTCCATATCCATATCCATTCCATATCATGTGCATAGCAGTCTCAGATTAAAATCTTGTACCTGTTTCTCTCTTTCTTTTGCCATATAAGGTTATTTCTCACTGAAATAAGTGGTCTGTATTTATGCATTTTTCTTGTGATGAGCCAGTCCAGTTTCAGACTTGTTTCTTCTGATTTTCTGGTATTCTCACGGCATCCAAAGCTGGAACCTTCAATTAAAGAAAAAACACTAAGATGCTCTATTGAAAAATGTTCAGAGGAAGAGAAGGAAACCGAGACATAAAGAGCAAGTCACTTACAAAAAGTTTGAAGGAGTGGAATATGTTTAGTTTTATGCACAGGTGTTGAAAAGTCTGAAGTGTTTTCCCCCAGAACGAGCATGGTCAGGGATTAAACCCATCCAAGAAAGTCATTTGTTTTAATATCCTACTTTAATGAGATGAGAGAGCAGAGGTTTGAAGCAGGGGTGAAATCTAGCAGGTTCTAACAGGTTCTGGAGAACTGGTAGCATAAATTTTGAGTAGTTCGGAGAACCAGCAAATGCCACCTCTGGCTGGCCCCAGAGTGGGGTGGGAATGGAGATTTTGCAGTATCCTTCCCCTGCCATGCCCACCACGCCATACCACACCCACCAAGCTACAGCCACAGAACCGGTAGTAAAAAAAATTGAATTTCACCACTGGTTTGAAAGCACTACTTTTCCATCACAGGCCTATGTTATGGAATAGCTTCCCTCTAGAAATTTAGAGGCCTACAACTAAGACAGGAAACCATTTTGTTTTCAGTTGCCCCAAACTACAGAACTCAAACCAGTACACTAAAATTGCAAAAGAAAATAAAAGGATTTTGACATAACCTTAGGCAATATTTCCTATTGGTACAACATTTTTGATAATAGAACAGAAAGTGATAGAACTTTATATAGAGGCTATAGTTATATAGGCTATAGTCATGGCCTAGTAGTGAATCTGCTATATTGGCAGCCAGTTAAGGACTTGGGGTGAAATCTCTTCCAACTCAGTGATCTTTGTTCTTTATATTTTCTTCTTACTTAGATTGATAAAATGACCATAATAGCCCAGTGCACATAACATTAGTTCCCTCCTCCCAATTTACAGAAAAAATATCATTATAATTCTCTTAATACTGTTCTTCAGTCCTGAAAGCTTCACAGAAAAGCAGGGCTTTAATATCCTAATATTGCAGGAACCATTCTTGTTCCTGAGTATTCACCTGTTGCAACGGTATGTGGGAATGACCTTCGGAGACAGGGCAAAGAGACAGCCAAGGACATGTTCAGCTAAAAGGTAAGTTCACTGCCAATAGAAATGTGGCAGGGTAAGAGGTTCAGAAGGATCCTTTTTAGTTTCTTGGGCTGTAGAGGGGATGTGGGGAAGAAACATACTTTCAGCCTTTCAAGATCAATAGCATCCTTGCAAGGCAAATCAGATAGGAAAATAGTCAGATAGATTGTACTTTACTGTACAGTTACTTACATTAATAGAATCCTGCAAGTCTGAAAGAAATCCTTTACAGCCCAAAGAACTAAGGAGGGTCCCTTCTGACCTGCTTCCTACCCCAAATTAAATTGCCTTTAATCTGACCATTCCTTTGGCTGCCTTTCTTTCTTTGCCTTGTTTCCCAAGATCATTTCCACATACCATTATACCTGTCTTATCTCCTGGCAGATAAAGACTCACAGCTTGTCCTCTTTTCCACCCTGTATCAGATGGGCAATTCTAGCTGGAATAGATGGTCCTGAAGAAATCCAGCCTCCTCCAAGCAGTACAAATGAGATATAATAGCCAATACCTAGAACTGAACCTCAAAACACATTGGCAGCCAAAGCACCTCCCTCCCTGTTACATGATTGTAATGGTCCTCATTTATGATCAGGTGGTCCACACCTCACAACTTTCAGTGACAACCAGACTACACCAACTCTATGGTTGCTTGCTTTCTCCAAACTGCACTGTTAGGGAATTAGATGTGTTAATTGTAGAAAAAATATATATAAAGTGCTGTGGCATCTTCATGTCAATTGTGTTTTCTAGGCAGTTGGGTAGTATGCATTTTAAAGATAATTGAAGTCACTGAAGCTTATCAATGCCAGTTGTTCCCCTTTACCCACCTGGTTGGAAAAGCTGTAAAGGCCATTCAGCTGTCATTGAAGATTGTGAATGCCAGTTGTTCTCTATTCATCTGGAAGCAAAAACTTTCAGCATCCACCAAGCCCATCTCCACTGTGCCACGAGCGAATGTATTCTTTGTTGGGCTAGCAGTCACCTTCAGCTTTGGCTTCTTTCTATTTATCGCTTTGTATTAAAACAATCAGATCTGGGTAAACATAGCATACACAAGGGAGTGAATTTATAGACATTAAGATCCATGCTACCTGTATTTGAAATACAGCCTAGTAGACATGATTGAGTTTGTCTTGTTACTTCATCTATTGGTCACAATCCAAATAGCATTAACTGAAGTGTGAGAATTAAGCATTTGGTTAAACCTCTCTCGCCAAAATCAATGGAGCTAAAAGCACTTGCGTTTGATAGGTCACATCTACCCAGATGATAGTTTGGGAGAGTAGCTTTGCTGGATTAGGCCATTGATTCCTTCTACTTTAGCCCTTTGCTTTCAGGAGACAGTTTGCCAAAACTGAAAATTAAACTCAGCTACAATATAACCGGACGGTAGGATAGCAGGAATCTTATTATGACTATCTCAACTAATCAACAAATCCTCTGAAGCGTGATATTTGACTTCATATGATGGGGTTTTTTTTCCTAAAAAAGAAATGGTTCTTGAGATTGGCAAAACTGCAGTTATCAGAGGAACTAAACTCGTTTGTATGGTAAGTTTTGATTTAATAGCTTTTTGTGCTGCAATAAATGATTACTGAAGGCTTAAGCCAATATATAGCTACAGGGTTGTGACCTCAGAACGCGAGACTATCCTGTAACTGTTCTCTGTCAGATATCTAATTGTGGCAGAAGCATGAATAAATGTAACAAAATCCAATGAAGCAGATAAATATTGAGATCCACGAATAACAAATTGGGTTTTTGCTTTATATCAAAAGGCAAGTCAATATAAAAGCAGAAACTTGTATTAGATTAAGTGATATCAAACCTTTTAGGGGCCTGTTATTTCATGGCAAAAAAAGGGGAGCTAATCTGTTGTTTCCAGTGATGTGTTAAAGAATCCTGTCACTTAACAAATTTCATGCCCTTCAGTTGCTATGCACTCTTGCTTATTGCGTGATGACAGCACCCCAATGGTAGTATGCTATAAAAATCCTAAAAACTGAATTTCCACAGCATCTGCTGCAAGCAAGTTTTGTAGGGTAGTGGTGGTAGTGTTTTATCTCTGTATTTCTGCACAAAGGAAACTCACTTAACAGTGAGGTCACTCTGCGTTCATAGATGTTCTTGTTCTCATGAGACAGGCTGCCTGCCATGTGTCTTTTTTCCCCTCTTCAATTTCATCAATCTGATTTATAAACAAGGCCTTGAATCCAGCTTCGACAGCTTCTATACCTATCACAATATGCTCAGTTAACACACTGCACAAAATGTGCCAGGATAGAACCACTGAATATTGGATCCTTTTTATTTTGTTTCATTGGAGCACTAAAATTCTTGGATGCAAAGGAGTAGAGTAGAGTAGAGTAGAGTAGAGTAGAGTAGAGTAGAGTAGAGTAGAGTAGAGTAGAGTAGAGTAGAATCAAACAGAACAGAACAGAACTATTGACCAGGTGTGATTGGACATACAAGGAATTTGTCTTTAGTGCATAAAATCTCAGTACATACAAACAATAAAGTAATATAATCATAAGATACCAACAGGAGAAGATAGTAGAAAAGATGAGAAGAATAATAGTAATACAGCCATATTACATGGGTATACCCTTAGACATAAGACAGTACTATGGTAACGAGTTGTGACGCAACTAAATTTATTTGCAGATCAAAAGGACAGTGGTGTGGCAGAGTTCATGATAAAAAGTAGGTAGTATAATTTAAGCCAAGACTAGAGTTTTAGCTTCTCCCAGATTTTGGGAGTTCAGCTTCCATCAATATCTGCCACCAACGAGAAAGGGCATTTATTTAAAAGGCTTCTGTTCTAATTGTTAGCTTATTTCTCTTTAATGCACTCTGTCCTGCTGTATTCCTGTCAGGATAAAAAGTATTTCACATTAAAAGATACATTGATTTTATTTGCAAAAGTTTAATGCTGCCTTAGTCCAAGAATTAAAGTGGTAAACCACAAGTGAAAATGACAGCAGGGTAATACCAAATAATAAAGAAGTTAAACTAGCTTTCCTCAATCTGGCATTCTCCAGATACAACAGAAGCATAGGAAAAAAAAAAAATCTAACACAACATGGACAGATCTGACTTAAAATTTTAGCTATGGTAACTCCAATTTACCTGGTTGGGATGTTCTGACTTTTCACTGAAGATGTAAATCTAACCATTGAACAATAGCCCTTCCTTTGTTGTTGCAAAATAGTTCAAATAGTTTTCTCAGAGTATGGTTGAAAGAATTATACTGGGGGGAAAAATGGAACAGTCTATTTTTGTATAAATGTTTTTTTTGCTCTGTATAATTTTTATCTGAGGACATAATTTAGGACTCAGAGTGTGCCACCCCTCTTGAAAAAGAATTCCATACATTTGCTCCTTTCTTTAAAGATATTCCCATGAGTATAGAGATCAAAAGTAGATGTGATGTTAAAAATGCATATTTATATTTAATATGCACATTTTTTAAAGGCTGCAGATAGCTAAGGGGAATTTTCTTCCAATGCAAATAACATCTTCAAACGTGTAATCTCTTCATGACTTTAGTAGTGTGGTATTCCTCCTGGCCTATTGTGACTTGATCATTATTAGTAGCATCCACCTAAGGGCTCAAATTTGCAGCTTCTAAAATTACGCATATTAAAAAGAAAGAAGCCGTTAACATTTTTTTCTCTCTCTCTCTCTAAAAACAAAGGGTTAAATAGTTCCAGAATTTGACTCAATTCTACCCATGGTTCCTTTTTTCTTCTTGTTTTTGCAAGAAGTTTTGGTTAACCAGATAGCTGCACTAAGTGGTTGAGGACCTACCGCCAGTGTTGGTCTTAGACAGGGGTGGGTTCTAAATATTTTTACTACTGGTTCTGTGGGCGTGGCTTATTTTGTGGGTGTGGCTTGGAGGTCATGTGACTAGGTGGGCATGGCTAGCTGGTCAGAGTCATTTCTGGAAGGTCCTCGCACTTAAGACCAGTCCTTGCACTTACGACCCAACTCATTTGTTTGCTTTTAACACTGATCAGCTGTAGGACGGCCCTTTGAAGCCCCGCGGCAAGAGTTTAAACAGTTTTTTTCCCTCTAGTCATCAGCTGGGACTCAGGAGGCAGCAATAGATTGGGGGTGGGACCAAATAAAAGGTAAGAATAACGTGGGTGGGGGGTGGGAGGGGGGGGAGAACCGGTTTGGTGATGTCATATCATCACTGCTACCGGCTCTGCCAAATCGGACCGAACTGGGAGGAACCCACCACTGGTCTTTGAACTGCTCTACAAATCTTTGAGACAAAAGAAAGGGCAGAAAAAGGTTGTTGTTGTTTTGGAATTCATCAAATTTGTTGCAGTACTTGTCTGACTTTTTTCAGGTTTCTTTTTCTTTTTCATCAAGAGATACTTCAGATGTTTAAACTTCCATTAGAAGGTTAGGATGAAGCTATCTATGGTTATTGATTAAGTTTGTTGCTCCATTTTAAGAGGAGTTAAATTATTTTAATATGAGATTTTTTTCTTGTCATTTTAATGTTTGAATTATTTATTGCTGTTATACATTGTTGTAAACTGCTAGAAATCCTTGGAAATTACAGAGGGATACAAATATGATAAATAAGTGAATCAATAAATAAATGCATACAGATATGCATACTTCTGACTCATTTCCAAAATAATGTAGTTACATGTTTTCTATTCATCAGAATTCAAGTCAAAATAAAGTCTTTTCCATAACTGTGAGACAGATTGCATTTCTATGTAAATTATAGCAACTATTTCAAAGTTTGCATCTAATAAATTAACATCTATATTTATGCAAAATTGTGCCCTCTTTTGTCCTCTTCCTTGTTAATACATAAATGATCGTTCTAGCTAGGATTTGAAAATGTAAAGTAGAAAGAATTAAGCAAAATAATTGGATGGAGCTAGCAGACCTACTTTCCATCTTTTAAAATTGAGGCTATGAAATTCTATATTTCAAGCAGATAGTCCACATTCTCTGTTGCTTAGAGATCATAACAGCTTTCACTGGGTTTTCTAGCAATGGGCTGATATTCCATTCAATAATACTGGAAGTATTTGATCATATTGGGCTAAATTTGCTTGAGAGGGCTGCATAATTGGGAGGAGTGGAACGGAAAAGGGATATTTAATAGAAAAGATCATTGCCTTACCAATGCCTTTTACAAAATGAATGGGTGAATTATAAAACATTAGTTTCTTTATCACATCTTCACTGCTTACATTCTCAAGCAACCCTCTCATTTGTATCACTGATGAGAGATGTCCTCTGAGAGGTATTAAAGCTGCTACTTTAAAATGCCAGGAACAGTTGGCATTTGGACTGAACAGCTTTCAGTTTTATAAGTCCAAATCAATGTATAAAAAACATGAAAATAGGTGCAAAAAGAATTAAACATCGTCAATCTGTTACAAGAACAACTGTGTATAAAAAGATCAGTAAAAGAAATCTAGCCTTGCAAGGGCTATCACAAATCCTCAAAGTTGGAATTGATTGTGAAAAGGGGAGGCAAATTTGCCAAGAAAATGGAGGGTAGGGAGTCAACCATAATTTAGGATGGCTCATTTGGTTTGTTTTGAAGGCCTGGGGCCAGAGAACCAGGCACCAATTTCCCTTTTTTTCTGAACTTCATTGGGGTAAATTGGGTAAATCATGCTATCTACCAGTCTCCAGTAACCTGTCTCATGTAAGGATCCTTCTTCTGTATTCAGTATGCTATAAATTTGGGGGAAGAATAAATATTGTTAAACTGAATATAAAAGAATAAACATTTAGCTACTATCTTTATATTAACATCAATTTACAAGAGCATCTTTGGGGAAGAATAAAAAAAGTCATGATATACATAGGATATGACTGAAAGGACGTTGGATGGGGCAGGGATTCAATCACATAGTCATGGCTGCCATATTGTCTGTTTTGATTCCACCCTTAGAAACTCTTGTGAGTTAAAATTCTTGAAACAGATTAATAAAGTACTAACGGGGAGCATTTTTGTGTAACAGAGA